CTAACAATTGGAAAGAAGATTGTTTGATACCCATTTTAAAGCCTGGAAAAAACCTCACATTGCAGAATCTTACAGACCTATAGCACTTACATCTTGTATGGGTAAAATATTTGAGCAACTTATAAAATCTAGATTAGAATTTTAGCTAGAAAAAAATTGTCTTTTACCATCAAATCAGTTTGGATTCAGACGTCGTAAGTCAACTAGAGAAAGTTTTGCATTTCTTCATTTAGACATCTTTAAAGCTATGGAAAATAATGAAGTATTAATTAGTATATTCTTTGACATTGTTGGTGCATTTAATAACGTTAATCTTCATGTACTCGCCGCAGAGTTGAGGTCTTTGGGCATTCCTGAAAAAATTGTAAAATGGATACTATAACTTTTTACTTGAAAGAAGAGTTTTTGCTAAAGTTAATAATAATAATACAATTATTGGTCCTAGGCTCAGTTATAAAAGTGTTTGTCAAGGAGGAATATTAAGTCCTCTTGTCTTTATTTTATACATATTTAAATTAAATAATATTTTAGAATCAAATGTTACTAATTTACAACATGTAGATGATTTGGTCATATATGCCTCAGGAACAAATGTCAAAAACTTGATAACCACTTAAATGAGGCTTTAAAGAAATTGCACATTTACTTTTCACACTTAAATTTAGATAGGGTAGGGTAAACAGTACTAATGTTGGCACTCCTACATTGATTGGCACTTTGCTATTTTAATCTGAATATTAAGAATGTTTTCCTTTTTCTATATCACAGCTACACAGATATTGCTAAGATAAATAATTACTTATACTAACAATACACATTTATATTTAAAGTATCAACTATTTTCCTATAAGGGCTGTTTTAAAAATGTATGCGGACAAATCCGTTAAAATTTAACAAAAAGTTAAGGTTATGTGGCTAGATTTTGAGACAAAAATGTGATTTTTAGGTAAGTTTATATGCAAGTTTCTGTCTATTTTAATCAATTAACGTCATTAAAGCATATTAAACGTTATTTTAACGTTGTGAAATAGAAGCATCGGTTTTTTTAATTGTGCCAGTGACTATACTTTACTTTGTTCGACTATTATATCATTGGCATATATGTCAATCACTATTCTTTCTTTCTTTTGTCCAAAATCTATTCTTGACACTGCCAATGGCTATATCCTTAGAGTAGTGACAATGATTATGACTGAACTTTTTCATATTTTGAATTGATGAAGAATACTGCTATTAAGAGAGGGCGTTTTAGAAAAATAACTGCCGCACTAACATTTAACATTCCACGCGCGAATTTACAGTTCCCACTAAATAAGTAAAGTAAAAAAAACTAACAAGCTGAAAAGTCGACCTGGTACTGGCACAGTTTACGATGTCATAAAAATGTCAATGATGTGAGGTTTTTGAATAAATACCCCATACATACTAAACCGTTTTATAGAGGGAGAATAAAACGTCTATGATGTGGATCATGCCTAATCGAAATCTTGCATCACTGTTCTTTGGAGTAGACGGTAAAACCTATTATTTTCCTCCTATAGAAAATGTGATCAGACGTTCAAAAGTTAGTGCCTAGAGTGAGGGTTATTTACTATCTTAAATACGGCGCAACTTTGCCCAAGTCTCGCCATAATACTTATAGCCCTTAATCTGAATGCAACGCGACTATTGCAATCAGCTGATATCACTGCATTTCGGCCCACCAAAGATATGTGGCGTAAACCTATCTTCGAATGACGGACAAACAATTTGACAAAAAAGTTACTAAAAGAGATGCAGCCCTATATTAGCAAGACTTTTACCGTATTGAAATAAATCTACATTATGAAATGGTTTTGAGACATGTGGGTTGTGCCCATTTAGTCCAGACAAATAAGATGGAGCTTAGAAAGATCTGGGTATAACTTTTTAAGACTTCCAATGGTGCCAATGATTATACTTAATTTACAGTGCCATTCACTATGCTAAAGTGCCAATGATTGTAATATTCCCTAGAAAAAAGTTTAATTAGATTTTTAACTTAATTAAACATTTCTTTTTATACGTAATGCGTTATTTTATTTATGGCTATCTAAACTAAAATGCAACAAAACAATAAAAAATATAACAAATTTGTTTATTTACGAGAATTAACCACTTACAAGTAGAAATCCGCTTAAAGTGCCAATCATTATACTGCTTACCCTATTAGTACTGAGAAAAGTAAAGTTGTAATATTTAATGAAATTCGTCCATTTAACACTAGAATAATCTATAATAATACATTTTTACCAATAGAAAGTTGTGCAAAATTCTTAGGTGTAATTTTTACAAATAATTTATCTTGGACCAAATACGTGAATTCTATTTCAGACAAAGCTTCTAAGGCCTTTAATGTATTAAAAGCTTTGGCTAGTACTAACTGGGGAGTTGATCCAGAAATATTATTAATGTTATATAAGTCTTTGATGAGGAGCCATTTTGAGTACGGCTTCCTTTGTTTTGCATTAAATAAAAAACTGGTAAACAAATTAGATATTATACAAAATAAGAATTTAAGACTTATTACCGGCTCTATGAGAACAACTTCTTTACAGGCTGAATGTCTTACTCCTCCTATCTTACTTCGGTTGAAATATCTGAAATTTAGGTTTTTATTAAATATTAATTCTTTGTCTCATCATCCTCTTTTTCAAAAAGTATTATTTTACTATAATAGTATGTCTCCTATATCTAACTCAGCCCCATATATACTCCATGACTTTCATGAAGTGATACGATAAGATGAACAATATGATATTCACAAAAGCACACATACTTGGCCTTGTTATAAGGGAAATTATGAAAGTAAATTCAGTGATATACACATAAATATTGATGAAAAATTGAAAAGAAAAGAACAGGTTTATGAACTTATACCCACATATGATGAATATCGACAAATTTACAGACAGATGGTTCAAAAGTTGAAAATAAAGTAGCCTATGCATTTTACATACTTCATCTGAAAACTGAACGTGGCCTTTCCATTCCTGCATCAGCAAGCATATACACTGTAGAATGTTATGCTGTCTTAATCGCTTTTAAATATATAGAAGAACACCCACATGTATCTAATAAATGGTTACTGATCTCTGATAGCATGAGTGTCTTGAAGGCACTGAAGGCAAGAGCTTTAGATGCTAAAACGTCTTTCATCATATATGAAATCAAAAGTTTGTGGTGGAAATTGAAAAAAAATAATTTGGAAGTAAAATTTTTATGGACTTCGTCACATATTGGTGTTCAAGGAAATGAAAGCGCAGAACATTTAGCTAAAAGTATAGTTACAGCTGATATTGAGAGAATAAATGGTGTTGCAATACCACATAGAGATTTATATTCAATTTTAAAGCAACAGTTTAAAGAAGAATGGAAAATGCAATGGAATGCTGTTTTAGAAGCAGGAAAAGGTCGTTGGTATGCATCAATTAATTCAGAATTAAGTATTCCTTGGTTTCCTCGCAACGAGAGATACCAGAAAGCAGAAAATTTTATACAATAATGTGTAGATTTGGCCACTATCGACTGAACGCTCATCTTTCCAGGATGAGAATAGTAGCATCTGCAACATGCAACTTCTGCGATACAGAAACAGATCAGACTGCAGAACATATAATATTTAACTGCCCAGCGTACGCCATAGAAAGATTGCTACTCATTGAAAAACTTATATAAGTTTATGAAAACTCAGAAAGCGTCCCGCGTGCCCTGTAAGATGTTCTTAGGAATACTAAGACATATTAAGCACTTTGCAATTTTATTCATAATACTGTAAAAGAAATATGAAATATGGTACCCCTGTTTTTGAAAATATTGGATTGACAAATCTACATGGATTGAAACTTACAAAGATTATAATATAAAGAAGACTTGGCTTTAGCCTTTACGGTTTTTGAAAATATGAAGAATTAAAGAAAATAAGACTTGGCTTCGGCCTTTATGGATTTTGAAGAGATGGAAATAAGAAAAATAAGACTTGGTTCTGGCCTTTACATTTTAAAATTCTATATATTCAAAATAAAAAAGACAAGGCTGTATGGCTTAGTTCTTTTGCCTGCTATCTCGAGCGAATAATAAAAACAACAACAACAATTAGAAATTGCTATTGTTATAACAAACAACAGTTTGAACAACATGCCTATTAGACCGTAAACATTATAATATCTAAACTGTTGTCTATTATAAATAATAATACCATGTTATGAATGTAATTTCTTGCAATAAATGTTTAGGCAGGGCCTTACTTTTGAATTTAGCTGAGAAAAACTATTGTAATATTTATTTTTTGTAAGTGAAATTAGTTCTTATTACTTAACTATTTCACGTATGAACATATATTAAAATTTCGATTATTTAATTAATGTGTCTTTTTCACGGACAGGGAAATTGTTAAGCAGAAGAAATCATATTAGTATGACGGAATTATAAAGTGTCCTCTCCATTAAGTATATCACAGTAGCGTGATAAAAACACAATGTTAGATGATGTTATCGTAATTATGTCTTGAAATTTTATAATGTGTTTAAAATTTTCTGACAAGGCTGTTAATTACATTTTAAATTTCTAATTAACAGCTAATACAACAATATTAGCTGTTGTATGTTATAACGCATAGAGTACATAATTAGACTGTTATAACGCCCAAACAAAGCGCCCATCTCTAGACTCTTGTGGTTGTCATTGTCAGCTCAGTTGTCACTTGTCAACTTGTCATTATCTTGTCAGTTACTGTTTTTGCTCTTTAGTCATCATTGTTTAAAACATTGTACATATAATGTTATGTGTATTTGAAAGTTGGGACTAACAATGTAAAGTTTAGAGTTTGCTCGATATGTATTTGAATTTTCAGTAGACTATAATAAACAATATATTTTTATAAAAAAGACAATAAGTGTTTAGTTTGTATGTAGTCACAATAAAATAGATTTTTTGCTGACTGTCATAAGTTTCTACACAGTCTCTTATTATTTTTAGAAAAAATGGATAGTCCAATGTCGAGTGACTTAAGATCAAACCAACTGGCACAAAATTCTTGGTGCCATCCAGCAAACAGAGTTCATAGGTTTCTAGCACTGTTATTAATGTGTTTTCTTTGTTTCGGTGAGTATTTGCTGCTTGTGTTATATGTGTATATATAATAAACTAAAGTACAATACAAACAGGCTAATCACTTAATATTAAGAAGGTTTTGGAGCAATGACGACTGTTGTGCTGTTTAAATATTTTACATGTCCTACAAATGTTTTTAATTTCTTAGATACGCAGATTTTATAAATGTATTTTCTTTTACAATCATGCAAGTGCTGACATCCGACACTTAAAACAGTTAAGTTACAGCCTATATATGTCCCACTGCTAAACACAGGCCTCCTCTCATTTCTGAGAGGGTTTCTCTGTAACTTCACACTTAAAATTGCAATAAATAACTTTACATTAAAGTAGCATACTATGATATATAAGTAGAGCGCTTAACCCCTAAGTTGCCAAGATTCATACTTATAGACTGTAGCTATACTGTACGTAGTATTTTACTAATAGCATTAGTAATTAAGAAGAAAAAAAATATATTAAATGAGCTAGTGATTCTTTTTTAATGTCAAACATATTATCATAAAATTACTCTAAAATATTTAAAAAAAAATACTATTAAGTTAATAGTATGTATTAATATATTTAAAATGTATTTTTCAGGATCCTACTTTTGTTATGATACGCCCGGTGCTTTAGCTGATAACTTCAAGGGTGACTCACATTTGAACACATCTCAGTTTGCATTATTATACTCTATATACTCCTGGCCAAATGTCATATTATGTTTTATTGGTGGTTATTTGATAGATAGGTCTGTATAATTGGTATTGAACTGTGTTATGATAAGCCTATATTGTTACATACAACATATTTGTTATGATAAACAGCAATATGAGCATTAGTAGATGACCTTATTTACATACTGATATAGCTAGTTAGTGTGATTTAGTGTTTTGTTTTGCATATTATACATAGGATAGGAATTATGTTATGTTAATAATTTTTATTTATATTATCATTTGAAAGAGATATATAATCTAAAGAAAACTGATAAAACTATTACCTTCTATTACAATTTCATCACTTTCTTGTTGAATGAGTTCACTCCAAATTGGATAATTTATATGTAGTAAAAATAGTAGACAGTTGATTATACAGTTCACAAAAGAAAAGTTATGAGCAAAAATGTGTAGAGATTGATCTATTTTATTCTTATTAGATAATAAATATATATATACACATATAGAAATGAAAGGCTGCTCTATAAATTACAGGCACACGAGGGCCGGGAGAAGAATTTTAAGGCATTTAAATTTTAATACGTTACCCTCCCTCAATCCCCTATCAAATCGACTTATTTTGTCTTTAAGATATAACTCTGAAAACCAATGTTTAATGTGAAATTCTCAAAATTAATATGAAAAATAAGTATCCATGTGAAGAAGTGCAGGGGGTGGGCTATCCCTTCTACCCCCCCACCTCATGTTTCTCTCCTTATGCCGCAAGGTGCTGAAGTAACTCTAAAATGATTTTAATAAAATGTTAAGTAGGACGCAACTTAAAAAATGAATTTTTAAGAAAAGCCTCTTTTCTCACTTTAAATGAGGCGAGGTGTCTTGTTGCGACCTTATAAAGTACTAGCTGTGCCCCGCGGTTTCACCCGCGTCATCACGTGTCGGTGGTGACATGACCTAGTTCAAGCATTTTATAATTGCAATTAAATATTTTATTTGATAGCAATGGATGGAAAAATTGGGATAATTAATGAAGTACTTTTATTTGTCGGCATATTATGTATGAGGTAGAGCGAAGTTAAGTTTTATCCACTTTCCCTCCCCCTCCCGGTTGAGCGTTCTCCCCCCCTCCCCACGTCCCAGAAAGTGTCCCGAACCACGGTTTTTTCCAGTTTTAAAGAAAACCGTACACAATACATGAAAAGTGTGTAATGATTCTTGAGCTATCAAACTTTTATACTTATTAATCAATTCAATCAATTTAAAATCAATTACTAAATTTCACCCAGCATGACAGACAAATAAGAAAGTGATTTATTAAAAATGTGGTAAAATAATATTTATGTAAAGAGTTTCGCTCACATTATTTCGTCATATTATATGGGACAAATACCCTCCTACTCAACACTATTTTATACAGTATATGTTACATCTTATAATAATGTCCTCTAGACCAAATTTCCGCTCAACGGCCAGACTCAATGGAGACTAGCCATTTGCACAAGACAGGATTATAATAGTGCCCAAATGTATGCACAAGCACAGGTGCACTCTATTCTCACACTCATATTCATTAAATTTGGTAATTGAAAAACAAATTTTACCTACATATTATTTTTCAGATATTTTGGAATTAGACTCGGGACAATTATATATATGATCATTGTAACTCTAGGGGCAATAGTCTTCGCTACAGGAGTTTACATCAATGCATATTGGCTTATGATACTTGGAAGATTTATATTTGGGTAAGAAAGTGACTGATGTTGGTGTGTTGTCTCTTAAATAAAATGTCCAAGTAAATTAAATAGAATAAATTTATAGGTAGGTACTAAGGGTGCTTGCATATAAAAACAGATTTTCCGGATCCAACTTATTTGAAAAAAATTAGACTCACCAAAGTTTGTTATGTTGTTATAAAATCTCGAAAATATTATAACAACATAACAAACATTAAATAATTAACCAATTTGGTAAATGTTAAAAAGAGAATTCTTTTTAATATTAAATTTTATTGTAAAATATTTTTTCTATATATTTTTAAATTGAGATTACGATCGTGCCAAAGCGCTATTAGGTAATTACTGTCTACACGCCGTGGTCAAGCGATTTAGTGTTCTTAAAATACCATATTGCACTTATACCACGGAATAATGCTTATTCTATAATATGAGTAGCCGTAAAAAGAAAACACTAATTAATCCATTTTATATTTTCTACCTAGTCGGACTATTTGTCCCAGGTAAACATACTCGTCAACAACTTCGAGCTTAGTGCTCCCAACAACTACCGGCATAGGTGTAACATGGACATAAACAACTTCGACCGAGAGGTCAATCGACGGATTCAACTCGGCTGGGCAGCGTTCGGGAAGCTACGACACATCTTCTCGTCAGACATACCTCAAAACCTTAAAACGAATTTGTACAACCAGTGCGTGTTGCCAGTGATGACTTACGGAACTGAGACGTGGTCCTTCACTGCTGGCCGTATGAGGAAGCTCAAGGTCGCTCAGCGAGCTATGGAGAGGGCTATGCTCGGAGTTTCTCTGCGTGATAAACTTAGGAATGAGGATATCCGCAGTAGAACTAGAGTAACCGACATAGCCCAACGGATTAGTAAGCTGAAGTGGCAGTGGGCCGGCCATATAGCTCGAAGAACCGACAACCGATGGGGAAGAAAGGTTCTCGAGTGGCAGCCTCGTACCGGTAGGCGAAGTGTAGGGCGTCCCCCCACGAGATGGAGTGACGACCTGGTAAGACATGCAGGAAGTCGATGGATGCAGGTGGCTCAGGACCGTGCTTTGTGGCATTCTTTGGGGGAGGCCTATGTTCAGCAGTGGACTTGTGAAGGGCTGTAATGATGATGATGATGATGATGATATTTTCTACAAAATCAATTTACTTTTTTACTTTGAAAAAAAAAATACGGTTTTAAAAAAAAAATTACGTGGACGTCAGGATTCTGTATGTGGTCACGATAACTCTCGAAATAATTGACGTATAGAGACCGGATTTTTATTAGTTTCAGAATTACATCACCTGATTTCCTATTTCATAACAATAGCCTAGTACACGTACCTAGTTTGTTAATAAAATGATTTTCAAGTTTATAAGTTTTATTGCTATTAAAATTTTAAAGCGCTAATTTTTTTAGTCTTTGATAGACAAAGGACACGTGTAGTTTGTGTAATCGATTTATTTTGGTAAGCATTATTAATTTTTTACCTGTAGGTGACGCTAACTGTTAAAATAATAGAGCGCTAAATTTAAAACACGTAAATAATATATTTTAAAAGGCAGAAATACAATTTATTTTTTTCATGAAAATTAAATGAAACGCTTGTAAGGCGTGCACTTTTGAATTTTCTATTCTTGCCTTTTGTTCTACGAACTTATTATTCATAGCGGAAGACGATTTCAGTTTTTCTAAATTTTCTGCCTCTATAGACAACTGCGACAAGTCTGATAGCCTTTCCTGTCCAATAGAAGTGCTTCGAAATTTTGCTTATACACTCTCGGGGCCCCTGTAGCCCGGGGGGCCCCGAATAATTGATACGGCTGATACGGTGGTAGCTACGCCCCTGGTCCCTTGCCAACTTCTGCAACATAAATTTGCTTTGAAATAGTTTTATGATTTTGCTAAGACGGTACAAGATTTTTTTTAATTCTGTATTAAATAAAATAGAACATCGCTTAATGAAGGGTTGGTGTAATTTTCCAATTTCGACAATGCTGGTTAATCATATACGAAGGGTATCATATCAATTAGTTGACAAGATTGGTTTCAAACAAATCGACTTCACCAATAAATCTAAAATGCCTCCCTACTGAGTCCAACGCTGCTTGATGGCATGTTGCAGCCTAGCCCTATTATGTGACAGTAGTACTCTATTCACGACTTGACTTGCGTTTTACATATTAAGCTGTCCCAAAGTTAAGTACCGCCAGAATGTGCTTGCGTGCGTGCTTGCGTGCGTGCGTGCGTGCGTGCGTGCGTGAGTGCGTGCGTGTGTGCGTGCGTGTGTCTGTGAGTGTGTGTGTGTGTGAAAGAGATAGAGAGAAAAAGAATGAGTGCATGTTTAATCGGTACGATCGATAGCCAATTAGGACGACGCCTAAAAACTGAAGGCGGTCGATGTTTCCCAAAGATATATTATACCGAAAAGTAAGAGCCACCGCTAGCAGACTCCTTTTTAAAGTGTTGCATCCAAAACACGTTTGTGTTTTACGCCAAAATAGGGGAAAGTTTATGACTTAGAACCATAATAGTGCACAGTACGCACTTGTCCGATCTGTTTTATTAATGCTGGAAGTCTAATATTTCCTTTTCTTTATTACGTACTGTCTATTATTTTTACAGAATTGGTGGAGAATCATTGCAAGTGGCAGTAAATAGTTATGTGGTGTTATGGTTTAAAGGAAAGGAGCTGAATATGGTATTTGGCCTACAGCTGTCTTTCTCTAGATTTGGCAGCACAGTCAACTTTTGGGTAATGGAACCTATTTATAGATGGGTTGCAAATTACTATGGTGGCTACGAACGCCTTGGAGTAGCTTTATTTATTGGTAAATTTAATTTATTGATCTGAAAACTGTGATAAATGTGAAATACACAAATATTTAGAAATTGTTAAATTTTTAGCATCATTCACGTGTGTTGGGTCACTTATTTGTGGACTATTGCTGGGGTGGATGGATTACAGAGCTGAAAAGATTTTAGGAAGGCGTGAAGAACATAACAGTGAGGAACCATTGCGACTTCTTGATATTGTAAATTTCAAGCCAGTATTTTGGCTAGTTTCTGTGATATGTGTGGCATATTATTTAGCAATTTTTCCATTTATTGCTTTAGGAAAGTAAGTATATTTTATATACATATTCTTTAATAAGATAAATTATATATTTTAAATATAGTAAATAAATAGAAAATTTAATATTTAACGTTACGAAAACAAAATAGGTAACAATTGTAATTACATTTCAGAAGTAATATATCTTGCATCTAAAATGAATATGTAGTAAACACACCAATTACAATAAATAGATAATAATAAAATCTTAAAATTGAGCGATCAGTCAATGCACTAATGCATTCCCTTGCTTACACTATTTATAAAAAAATAACGTGATTAATATGTCATTAAATCCATATTTTTACTATTGCTTACCTGCTAGACGATACCGATTTGAAGTGTGGTGGTGGTGTAAAGGGAATGCATATCTTGTAGATGTAAAAAGCGATTTTGAGACATGCCAATTATAAAACAGTAAAACCGTCCCGCTTACACCAGACGTAAAAGTGTCCAATAAGCGACAATTGCCTACCCGCTTAGTGTATACAGTGTAGTGGCGGTGTGAGAATTTCCACTAGCCCATATCATCCCGTGGGTGTCGTAAGAGGCGACAGGGGATATATATATATATATATATATATATATATATATATATATATATATATATATATATATATATATATATATATGGGACATTTTCCTAATAACGACTAAAATTTAAAAAAAAAACTTATTATGAGTTGACTACTATTCTATTATTCATCTAAATAACACCACCTTTTAGTCGACTAAAATATCGTATATAGAATAACTAGACTCGGCACATATTATGAGTCCGATTTAAGAGTTTATTGAAACCTTCTGTTTTACCGTATGGTGGCGGTGTAAGAATATCCACTACCCCATATCATCCCGTAGATGTTGTAAGAGACCTATTGTATCTAGGTTTAACCAGCTTAAAAAAATGTTCGATTGTATGTATTGATGCAGCCGAAGATGGTAGGGCGCACGTAGCTTAACAAAATCCTGATAAGACTTAAGCTAAGTGCGCTCTACCGATTATATTTTATAGCTTAACAAAAGCCTTTAAAACACCCACATTGTAATCGGTAGGAAAGACCATCACCACTCCTTTACTGTACATATTACAAAGGAAACCGGTTGGTTCGAATGCGCCCCACGCGTCAGCGGACCACAATAAAGGACGTCACAGATGTAGCTATAATACATATATTATATATGAAAAGTTAAGACAATCTACCAGTAAAAAAAACATTTAAGACGAATGTTCGGCTCATATCCTAAAATTACTTCGAAACTGCTAAGCTCCGTCATCATTATAGTTATCTCTGTTTTAGTTTACTCAGGATCTTAATATATTTTGAAGTACGCTCAAAAGGGTCAAATATCTAAACATTAAGAAAAAATTATAAACAAAGTAGTTAAATGGATCGAATAATAATTAAAGCTCGCCTTCAGAAGCTAATAAGTAGGAATTATTTTATTCTTAATGAGTACAGGCATAAACAATGAACTTATTAACCCGTCTTCGTATCTTGTATAATTATTTATTTAATTTTCATTCTTTATTACTAAATAATTCAATGGACGGACTTAATGTCACAAATGCACATCTAATTTGTAAGTAAAGCATATTTATTCCGAGACTAAAAGGCAGGTGTATTCGGGTTTTGAAGAGGTCTTGAACGTTGTCAATATAATACTCTGAGGTCAAAATCACTGGACTTTGTAGACTGATAGTGTTAAGGTTGAGAATTTTTATACACCGCCACTACACGACTATAAAAGTAATACTTACATAATAATTTCCCACTTTTTACAGATTGTTCTTTGAGCGTAAATTCGATTTCTCGCCGCAAGATGCCAACACAGTTAATTCGATGGTATATTTACTGTCAGCAGCTTTAAGCCCATTTTTCGGTATTCTTATAGACAAGACTGGGCGAAATGTTATGTGGGTGATAATAAGCACAATCACTACAATTGGCGCTCACTTCTTGTTAGCTTTTACATTTTTCAATCCATACTTAGGAGTGGTAAGATATTCCTTTTTTACGTATTATATCTTTTTAATGTAAGTATGTACAGTGTTATTTTCTGCCGACTTCCAAAAAGGAGACGGTACTCAATTCGACTGTATGTTTTTTTTTCTATGTGTGTTACCTCATAACTTTTTACTGGGTGAACAGATTTCGACTTCTCGTGTGGTCCCATATGAATTTTATCAAGGTCAGACCAATAGTTTTTGAGTTATTCTTATATTGAAGTCGGCTGTAGAAAATTTTTAATTTTAAATTATTCAAAGAGTAGTCAAATTTTCAACTTAGGTTAAAATTTAAAAATACTGATATAACCGTTCATGCACTTTTTAAAAATACGAGTAAATAGGTCTTCTACTTTTATTTAAAACTAGCTGTTCCCCGCAACTTCGCCCGCGTGTAATTTAGGGTTTTAATTATGTTGCGCGGAACCCTAATTATTTTGCTAAAATATAAGTAGCCTAAGTTACTCTTTATAACATCAGCTATCTGCCAGTGAAAGTCCCGTCGAAATCGGTCTAACCGTTTTGGAGATTAGCCGGAACAAACAGACAGAGAGAGAATTTTTTTTTAAATTGTGTTTTTGTTATAAGTACCGTGTCGTGTATACTGTCATATGAATTTAGTAAAAAGCTGTTATTTTGACATTACAAACAGACACTTCAATTTTATTTATTTGTATAGATTATCGCAAATTGAATGTGATTTATGGGCAATAACGAGTTTTCCTACCGATTGATAATGCATTACCAAGCATTTTGAATTTAAAAGATAAAAAGGACAGAATGTTTGAGATTTTGTCTAATTATTTTTCTTAGCCATTTGACTATATTAAGTACTTTTTCTGAACCTTCTATGCAATTTGACCGGTTATTGCAAAATAACCCTGTATAGGACGCAATCTATACAATCTATACAAATAAATAAAATTGAAGTGTCTGTTTGTAATGTCAAAATTACAGCTTTTAATTAAATGCATATGAAAGTAAATACGATACCTATAACTAAAATACAATTTTTAAAATTTTTGTCTGTCTGTCTGTCTGTTTGTCTGTCTGTTTGTTCCGGGTAATCTCCGAAACGGCTGGACCGATTTTGACGGGACTTTCACTGGCAGATAGCTGATTTCATAAGGAGTAACATAGGCTACTTTTATTTTAGAAAAAGAATCAGGGTTCCGCGCAGAAACATAAAAACCCTAACACGCGAACGAAGTCGCGGGGAACAGCTAGTATTTAATATATCAAATAAAATTTCAGATAATTCTGGGTATATCATATTCACTACTAGCAAGCGGTTTATGGCCACTAGTTGCGTTGATTGTCGCTGGAAACCAACTGGGTACTGCATATGGAATGTAAGTAAATATTTTAATATAACGGTTCTTAAGTAGATATTGTTAATGTTTGGGAAAATAGAACTCATAGTTATTATAAATCACACATTACATTCACATAAATCACAAATTCGTCAGTGTGCTCCAAGCAAGCGTTTTATTATTGTTTTACGTGCGTCGTTTTAGTACATATTATTGCAATAAAATTAATAGATATGCTGAGAAATTTAACACTTCGTACTACTACGGTACATAACAGGAATGGTCACTGCCTATATAATGTTAAAGTACCCAAAAAATAGACATTTATTTGATAAAATCGTATCCATTGAGTAATTAGGTATAGATCAGTAATCAAGAATTCTCAATTATCAAGCGATCATTTCTTATACCAGAGGCACACAGATGCATTTTTCAAGTTATAGAAGACAATTTGAAGTTAGAACATTCGTATTTTCACTTGTGAATAATCGTATTTTTAAAATAATTACTGAACTGGCCAATGTCTTATACAAAAAATACTTTTTGCTTTCTGAATGGTCCCTCTTACTAGCTCTCCACCCCGGTTTCACACAGGTGATTTCTTGTTGTTGACAACAGCGCCACCTACCGGGTCCAATTGTATACAATTGCATACAAGTATTGACCGAACATCAAAACTGACAGTTTGTTTCATTGTCAGCAGGATGCAGGTTTTTCATCTCACTGAAAAAGTTATATGTATCCTTCATTCTCTTTGTCCTCACAGGGGTGACAATATTTTAGCAAGTGTTGTGCAAACTTATAAGTTGGTGATTCTCTCTGACTTATTGTCACTTCTCACCTCACCTCGGTCCCCCTCTCTCTCGTGGCTGTACTATATGTTGTGAAGCACCCGAAAGATCGGGAATAAAAATAAGTAAAATGAAAGGCCTTAAAATCCGTTAACTCATTTTTATTCAATGTGTTGTATTCGTGTAAATAAAAAAAATCATTATTTGCATTATGTTAATGTCCTATTAAACTATGATAAATTTAGTACTATATACATATATAGCAATTAAAGTTGTTGGAATATATAGGTCACTCAATAAGTTTTGAGATGCTCGAAATTTAAAAATGGAACGCTTCCGTGTTATATGTTTCTAAAAAGCAAATTTATTTAAAAATAGAACTCCAGAAGCCAATTGCTCAATATTAAAAAAAAAACAAAGTTCTATTAATTTTCCTGCAACGCTTCCCGCGCTTTTCATTTAAAACGATGGATCTTAACCGTGAACATTTGCGCACTATGATATATTATGATTTTAAATTTGGTTTAACCGAACAATTAAGTTTACAACGGTTACAATCAGCATTAGGGGACTCAGCTCCATCACGCGTAACAATTTTAGGTGGTTTGCTGAATTCAAAAGAGGTAAACTTAGTCTTAAAGATGACCAAAGAACCGGGGCCCCGCAAACTGCAGTAACGGCAGAAAATGTATGGACTACTGAAATGTTGGTGCGAGAAGACCCACGAATCACATATACGAACATCGAAAAGATTGTAGGTATTAGTTCGGGGAGCATTCATACCATCCTACATCAACATCTTGGAGTGATGAAGCTTTGTTGACGATGGATCCCTCGTTTGCTCTCCAAAAGCGAAAAACAGACTCGTGTGGATTGGTGCCATGAAATGCGTCTACGTTTTGAAAACGGGGCTTCTAGTTATGTTTCAGAAATCGTTATTGGTAACGAGACATGGATCTATCAATATGATCCGGAAAATAAAAGGCAATCATCGGTATGGGTCTACTCAGAATGACAGTTACCGACAAAACTGAAAAGACCTCGCAACGTCGGCAAAAAAATGGTGGCTAGTTTTTTTTCACGGAGCGGACATTTGTCGACGTCAATGCTGGAAAATTGTAGGTCAGTCAACTCGCAATGGTATACTACAGTTGCATTACCCAAAGCTTTTCAAGCTGTGCGGGAGAGAATACCAAAGACCGGGCTTCGGGGAATCATGCTGCATCACGATAACGCCTTTTCACATACCTCCCTTAGAGTAAAAGCCTTTATTGAAGAATCAAGTGTTGAAACTCTAAGTCACCCACCCTACAGCCCAGACTTAGTTCCTTGTGATTTCTTTTTGTTCCCGACAGTCAAAGAAAAAATAAAAGTTAAGTTTTTTTCAAGCGCCGAAGAAGCCGTGGCTGCCTACGAAGAAGCGATTTCCGACCTGTCAGATCAAGACCGGCAGAAGTGTTTTCAGAGGTGGTTTAGGCGAATGGAACTTTGTATAGAGCATGATGGAAAATATTTTGAAAAGATGTAAAATAAATATTAATAGTATCTAGAATACTTTTTGTATGTTTCAAAAGTTATTGAGTAACCTATGTATGACATTTCCTCCTGTTTTTATAAACTTCCCATAGTGTCCGCTTTGGTCCCTTTCGTCTATGGGTTTCCGAAAAAAGGTTTAGAAATTAAATGGCATGAATTTTAATTACTGATACCAGTACCAAGCGTTAGATCGCTTTTTAATAATTGTGGGTATAGTTATTCTTATACATTAAATCAACTAAGCCCACAATTATATAGAATTCACATTTGTTTAGTTTAAAAACATTTTACACACATCAGAAATCATTCTTTTTTCAGATGTCAAGCTGTTCAAAACTTAGGTTTAGCCACTGTTCTCATTTTGGCCGGTGTAATCGTTGACAGATATGGATATTTCATGCTTGAAATGTTTTTCTTAGGATGCTTATTCAGTAAGGATTTTTTTGTGATTTCTTTAACATGCAATATAAATATAAAAGCAGTCTTAAATAGGTAACCTATTTACTTTTTAATTTTTTGCAGTTTCGCTCATTGCTGCAGTGCTGATCTACATTGTGGATTCGGCTAATAATGGAGTCCTGAATATGTCTCCTAGTATGCGTGAATCTATTACAAAACCGTAAGTAATCAAAAAATGCATAGTACTGATCAGAAAAAAATAAGATTTGTTCCTAAAACAATTTCATTTTGTGTTCATAGACGTGAAAACGATGACGAAACTGCTAATCTGTTAGACCATGAAGATGGTTCTGAACAAGAGGTTACAGACTCGAGGGACCAAACAAGTCAAAACCAGCCTCCTTTAGTTCGTGATTTAGCACAATCGCAATCTGACAGAATACGCAGTAGATATATAACACAATTATTGCCAAATACTAACATTCCAGAGAGACAATAAGTAAAATGACTACTACTTTTAATTGTAAATATAATGTAATTTAACAATGATTGTAAAAAATGTATTATCACTTTATTTAGAGTTTTTTTTAATGTAGAATAAAATTCAAATAACAGAAATAGTTTTGATTTCTTTTATTATAATACATAGATTTAATTTAAGGCACATATCAGTGTTGTGTAGATTTATATAATTACTGCAAATTTTATAAAATTGATCATTTCTATTTATTTTTATCTAGCACAATCCATTGTACCCCATTTCCAGGTAGTGGACTGTGAATAAATGGTGAAATCCAAGTTACGTACCATCGCGAACCAAATACTTCAATTAAATTAGATTTCCAGCCTTTATCATACATAGATTTAGAATCATTTTTATTTTCTGGAGTAATTTTTCCTTTTAAAATGTTGTTAAAATGGTAGATGAATAAAAATCCAGTAAATAATCCTACAATAAAATTTAGCACAACTAAAAATACATATATAGTCTCTGTGCCGAAATCTAAAACAAAACTTGCTAATGGAAATATGAACTTAATAATGATAAAGCCATGGTTCCAAGATATGAAATGTGCTAGAAATTGTACATTAAAGTAAAATGCATATAACATTGCTACAAAAATATCTAATGTAAACAACATAAAATATCTATGATTGTAATAACCAATACAACAAGCAAAAAATGTACAATGATGATCCCTTTTTAAAATACATACATTACAAGTATCACAATGCCATGCACGGGGTGGTCTTGGGAATTCACATGCAGCACACATTGTCCAGTCTTCTTTGTCAACGAAAAGAGAAACTTTTCCCTTAACACTTGTATCAGTAAACATTCCAAAAATCATATTTCCAACTATATTAAGTAGTAAAAAAATTGCACAGCAGTAATGAATCACATAAGGTACACTCCATTCTTCTAGTATAGCAGGTAGCACAACACAGAGTTCAAAGTATAGAAATACTGGTACTAAAATAAAAATTATTACAAGATATAATATATGCTCTAAAATCCTTTTCAAGCTTGTATTTTTACAGAAATTAACTTTTATTAACATTGTAGACATTTTATTGCAACACAAGTAAACCTGTTCTTATTTCCACTTTTAAACCAATTATGATGTCATTATTTAATTTGAAATAGCTATCAATCATATTAATAGTATTTTAATGAGGTATATTAATTGTGACTTAAAAATTTAGTTTTGTACATAAAATTTATAACAAAGTAATCTTCTCTCTTCTCACCTGAAAATAAATAAATATTAATTCTTGAATGATTTTCCAAGAAATATAATTTATTTTCACACCTTTTCTAGAGTTCTCAAGTATTTTCAATGAATCTTTATAACTCTTTAACTCTTAACTTCACAAAATGTTATTGACTATGTAGTGGCAGTGTAAGAATATCCATAGCATCCCATGTGTCGTAAAATGCTACAGAGGGAAACATACCAGAAGATATGGGCAGCAGCGCCTTCCTAATAACAAGTTGAAAAATAGTATCAACTTTGGCAACTTGTGGGGAGGCCTATGTACAGCAGTGGACTTTGATAGGCGGCTGTAATGAATAATAATAAAAATGTGTAATAATAATAATTTTGAGTCATAACCTCGGCATCTCTTCTAGTATGTATACATATTACTTCAACGGGTAAAACGAGACATAAATGTTATTACTAATATTAAACTAAAAAAAAACACCACTAGTACTAATTTTAAATAAGTGATCTTAAAACTAGTAAGACTAGATGAACCAACTAAATACTGGAAGAAAAGTGGTTCAGAACATGCTGGAATTTTAGGCAATGAACTGGCTATCTTGCATAAACTATGAACACCATTTGGTCCAAAGTTATTTTGTGGAATTTTCAATGCCTGCCTAAAAATCAAAAACCCTTCTTTCAACCAACTTCAGAATAAGAGAAGGTTCTCGATTTGTCAGAATATTTTTTTATGTATGTTCAGTAATATGTTTTTCATAGTATAGGGTGACAAGCGAACACACAGTCCACCCGATGGTAAGTGGTTGCTGTGGCCCATAGACATCTATATCTATCCTCATTTGCAAATCAAAATGCAGATACATTGTCACCCATGAGGACTAAGGAATGCCTCCAGTAAAAAGGGTCTCCGGTTCTCTACACTTACCATACGAAACACAGAAGTGTTAAGATGCTATTTTATTCTGTGAGAGCATGGTCCTACCCCGGTCGAGACGACCCATTCCTGCTACAACTATACTACTAATATATAAAATTTATATAAACATATTTTTTTATAACCACATTATCCAATTTCAAGGATTCTTTTTTTGTTACAAAAAGTTGGTCCTATTAAATTTAGTCAAATAAAATTTGATATTTTTGGAACAAAAACATTGACTTTATAGTTGATACTACATTTCCTCCATATAACAACTGGGCCAACCACAATTCTCACCAAGAGTTACACAATAGTACTGCTAAACCACAAGGCTCTTTCGCTGCAGTTGGCAAGTTAACTTCTTATCCATAAATTGTGCTGTCACATATTAGTTTATTTCAAAATTTTAAATTAAAATGGGTAAATAATTCATTTTTATTAAATAAGATACATAATTAAACTGTTAGATGGAATATTATGATAATCATTGTGAACAAATCAATACTGTTTAATACTTGAAATAAAAGAATATTGTGGACAGTTATGGTCAGGTTGTTTAAGCCTAAAGTAAAAGCACAAAATATGCTAATCACAACATGCACATGTTTCTTTTTGTGATTCTCATTGGCAGGTGTGTATAGACAGCAACAATGTGTGGCAAGTAATTACTGAGGCAACTTGTCTTCCATATGTCAGTGTCTTTACTGAAATGAATTAATTACCTTGATTCGAGGTTTATATCATTTAAAATTTCATATCAAAAAAAATTATAAAATATTTATTCTCCTTGATGTCTGCTTAAACAAAAATCACTATTAATTACATGAGCCTAAAAGAAAATTATATGCCATCACAGCAATCACAATGTGAATGAATTACAATGCTTGCAATGATATTGATCTGGTAAAATAATGTAATAAAATATTCCCATAATGATTAATACAAATACTTCCCATTCATTTCATCATTACAGCCCTTCACAAGTCCACTGCTGAACATAGGCCTCCCCCAAAGAATGCCACAAAACACGGTCCTGAGCCACCTGCATCCATCGACTTCCTGCATGTCTTACCAGGTCGTCACTCCATCTCGTGGGGGGACGCCCTACACTTCGCCTACCGGTACGAGGCTGCCACTCGAGAACCTTTCTTCCCCATCGGTTGTCGGTTCTTCGAGCTATATGGCCGGCCCACTGCCACTTCAGCTTACTAATCCGTTGGGCTATGTCGGTCACTCTGGTTCTACTGCGGATATCCTCATTCCTAAGTTTATCACGCAGAGAAACTCCGAGCATAGCCCTCTCCATAGCTCGCTGAGCGACCTTGAGCTTCCTCATTCGGCCAGCAGTGAAGGACCACGTCTCAGTTCCGTAAGTCATCACTGGCAACACGCACTGGTTGTACAATTTCGTTTTAAGGTTTTGAGGTATGTCTGACGAGAAGATGTGTCGTAGCTTCCCGAACGCTGCCCAGCCGAGTTGAATCCGTCGATTGACCTCTCGGTCGAAGTTGGACTTACCCAGTCGGACTATTTGTCCCAGGTAAACATACTCATCAACAACTTCGAGCTTAGTGCTCCCAACAACTACCGGCATAGGTGTGACATGGACATTAAACATGATCTTTGTTTTGTCCATGTTCATCTTAAGACCTATCCGTTGGGAAACACTATTGAGGTCATTGAGCATAGTGCTTAGGTCCTCCAGCGATTCTGCCATAAGGACTATATCGTCGTCAAATCGAAGGTGAGTGATGTACTCGCCATTGATGTTGATACCGTATCCTTTCCAGTCCAGAAGCTTGAAAACGTCTTCCAATGCAGCGGTGAAGAGTTTCGGGGATATGACGTCACCCTGTCTTACACCTCTCTGCAATTGGATAGGTTTCGTACTCTGATTCTGTACTCGGATAACCATCGTAGCCCTACTGTACAAGCACTTCAACACTTCGATATACCGACAGTCAACTTTGCACCGCTGAAGGGACTGCAGCACCGCCCAAATTTCGACGGAATCAAAGGCTTTCTCATAGTCCACATACGCCAGACATAGTGGCAAATTGTACTCTTCGGACTTCTGTACAACTTGCCGAAGGGTATGTATGTGGTCTATGGTGCTAAAGCCCTTTCGGAAACCGGCTTGTTCGGGAGGCTGGAAGTCGTCAAGTCTGCGCGCGAGACGATTCGTAATGACTCTCGAAAACAGCACGTAGACGCGGCTCAGAAGGGAAATCGGTCTGTAGTTCTTCAAGAGAGCGTTGTCACCTTTCTTGAAGAACAAGACCACCGCACTTCTGCTCCACGCCTCCGGTGTAATGCCACCATGGAGGACGGAATTAAAGAGCTTCTGAAGGACTTCAAGTACCGGTCTTCCACCCGCTTTCAGAAGCTCCGCTGTAATTCCATCCTCGCCTGGGGCCTTACCGTTTTTAAGGTGCTGGAGAGCCATCCTAATCTCGCTCAGGCTGACATCCGGGATATCTTCGGAATAGTGTCGGATGAGACTCGCTCTTGGATCGTTACTCACACTTGCGTGTGGCTCCAACGATGATGTGTACAGCTGCCCGTAGAACCTCTCAATCTCACTCAAAATCTCAGGTGTCCCGGAAACGATGCTGCCACATTCTGTCTTCAGCTTTGACAGTTCGCTCTTTCTGGCAGACAGATCTCTGGCAAAGATTTTGGAGTCTTGGTTCCGCTCGATCGCTTCTTCAATACGAGCTGTATTGAAGTTGCGTAAGTCCCGCCGCATGCATTTGGATATCTGTCTGTTCAGATGCCTGTATGCTGTCAAGTCTGTTGAAGAATGTAGCTTCATCTACTTCACATTGAATATAACTAATTTTAGATTTTATCACTTTTAATTTTAAATGTTTTTTATCCCGACATTTGGTTGCTATTGAAATTTTCAATACAGAATATAACTGGGTGCTACTTGGGATCCCATAATTAATAAAATTAAACGGACCATAAATTCTTATTCAAAAGTTGAAGATAGCCTTCGACATCAGGACGTCTATCATCTGTCTCCCCATGACCATGGGTGCTGTAAAGCACTGAACAGTATTATATTTTAATTTAATTAATATATTGCAGAAGTAAATTAAATACTGTTAACATCAGCATTCAGTTTCCTGTTTATTACCTATATTATTTTAAAGTAGGAAAAACTTAGAACCAGAAATTCAGTAAGTCATTTTACATTCTTGAAAATTTTAAGTCAAGGTATCGAACAAGAATTTCGCTCCAATTAAAGTAAAATAACGTTTATAATTCATAAAACTAGGAACAGAACAGCATAATGTAACTTATCCCAACTTACATTTTGTTATTTATTAACTATCCATTTCCATTAAACAGTAAACACAGATTATGAGATTATTAGGGATGAGGATCTGAAATCGATTAATCAAAGAATCGATTTTTCAGGACCAAAAGATCGATATGCAGTACTGTATCGATCCAATGAATCAATATTTTTCACCCTTGAAAATCGCCAATCGATGTGTTTTGTTATGGTATAAACCATAAAATTATTTACAATCAGTTGAATATATCTGTGATATTACTGTGTTGCCAGTTAAAGGGTTAATTACTCAAAACTCGCGAGATGCCTGTGTGCTTAGTTTCCATTCCATCTCCATTTAAGAAAGTTACGTTTGTAGTCTATAACTCTTTGTATTTGTTGATTAATATGCGTCATTCATTTGTTTATATAAGCAAACTGTGTCCTAATATTATACTGTGATTAGAGAAATAAATACTTATTATTGTGTATATATAACACAGTAATGCACTTGAACTGAAAAGTCAGGGCTTAAACGAAGAATTTAAACACTAATTATCGCAGGCAGTTGTACACATTAAGTATGATCCTATACTATACAAAAGAATAAAAAAAACTCCATTTATCACG